GTGGGATCATTGCGTTTCACATCATGTCGATCTCCCTGTATTATGGGTTAATGCGTATTTTCCATCATGCATAAGAGCGCTTGCATTATACTGCTACTATTGCACACATGCAGCACAGGGCAGCTTAGCATAACGTTCATTAGATACTGAATATATTTAATCAAACCATTTTACCCCTATGATTTCTTTGTTATATTTGTTTTTTATAGACAATTTTCAAGAACACGAGAAAGACAACAAGCTTCAGATAATCTAATAGGATACACCGGTGAAAGTACAAAATAAATAAAGAAGTTTCACATACACACACAAGGTATTTATTTAATATATGCCTGTTGATAATATCTCATTATACTCATTTTATATACTTTTACTAAAGTATATATAATATTGTCTCTGTTATATATATATTAATATATTTACTATTACTAAGCTGTGTACTAATTTTATATATTATATGAGACGAGAGAGAGAGAGAGAAGTGCCAGACTTATTTGAGAGGAGGAAAGAAGATCCAGAAGAATGGACAGAGACAGAGAGAGAATAGAACTGGACAGAAGGAGGGAGAGGAGAGTGACGAAGACGAGAGAGGCGGGGTGGATGGAAGAAGAGAAGATACAGGTGTTTGTCTGAGTTATGCATTTATATATTAGATGGTGTATGTGTGTTTTTTGCGAGTATGCTTGTGTTGTCTGTTAGTATATTGTCTTTGTTGAAGCCTGGGTAGAGTGATTAAGGGGGTTGATGTATATATGATAGTTTCTAGCGTTCTGTTGATTAGCTGCTGGTTGACTGTGTGTGGTTGTGTGTTTGATCTATGTGTCTGTGTGTGTTGTGAGTGTGTGTGTTAAAAACCAGAAATGTCCAGAATATGTGCTGTGTGTGTGTGCTTATGCTCACATTAACTTGTGTGTGATTTGTTGTGTTTGTGTTGTGTGTCGTGTGTAGTTGAGTTTTATCGATTATTGGAGATGATCGAAGAACTCTGCTTTTTTGTTGTGGTTCGTGTGTGTAATAGGCCGAAAAGGCGTCGAGTTAAGCCAATAAATAGTACTAGTGTTGGTTCTGAGTATTTATCTGCGTTGAGTGATCGTGTGCGTCTGTTGTTGACCTAAGTGCTGATGTGTGGTTGCATTGAATGATAATAATTTAGGGTTGGCGTTGACAGTTCTTTTTTGACTCCAGTCAAATTGTGGACTGTGTCTCTTAATTATCGGCTTCTTAACTACCCATAGGTGTTCGAGGAATATAGCCGTTACCGCCCATGTAGTATGCTGGGAATCAGAACGCAGGTCAGTCGAGATTGCTTGAGCTAACCCGCTACCACGCGTTTGTGTGTGTTTTTGTTGTTTGTGTGTGTATGTAGTATTCCTGTGTGTGAATTGTGTTGTATGTTGTTATTGGGGCCGATGTGGGGATGTGTGTGGTAATGATTGTTGAATTTTGTGAAGTGTGGGGTTTCCTGTCTTTGTGTGAGTATTGCGCGCGCGCGCGCGCCGTGTTGTGTGTGTTGTGGGTGTGTGTGTGTTTGTTGTGTGTTGTTGTGTGGTTGTGTGTGTTGTAGCTGAAAATCATGCAGTGATCATGATACTGTCCAAACTTGATTCGAAGATGTAACCTTTAACTTTGAAAGAAAAAAAAATAATTAGACTAGAAAAACTCATAATTTCGAATATATATCACAGTTACTATTCAAATTATCAAAATCTCTATGTGAATGATAAATAGAATTTCTCCTTACCAACTTGCGATAATATTTCTTCTTTCTTTTAATTTCGTCCCTTTCTTTCATTTTATCCTCTGTTCTATATTATCTCCTTATCTTTCATTTCTTTGCAACATTTTCTTCCGTCTTTCCATGGACTCAATTCCTTATTTCTTTTTTTCATTTATTTATTTATATTATATTATTATTTTATTTTTTATTCATGTGTTTTTTATTCCAGCTTCTTGTCTTTTCTTCAATTCCGTTCTCTTGCGTTCACTTTGATTCCTTTTTCTGGAATTTTCCTTCTTTAGCTCTTTCTTCTTTCCTCCTTTCCTTTCCATCTCCTCATACCTTCCTGATTAGGCAATCTCACTCCAGGCAAAATCATGAAAGAAAAAACATTATTGCAGACGGTAAGCTTCTTTAACAGGCGGTCTTTTTTCACTTATCTCACTGACCGAATGTTCCCACGTTCAAATGCTTCAGGGCACTTTGAAACACACATCCAATAGGATATATAAAGAAAGAAGCAGATCTGTGAAGCCTGAATGTAGATAACTCACCGCCATTGCAAGGATGGACGTCACAGGAGCCAGCAGTCTCATGATGTCCCTTGAATTACTAATGACCTGAAGTAATGGGTAATGCTTGGACTTTAAAAAACGTCACAAAGATCATTTTTGTTTCATTCAGATGATGCATCCTTTGGTAAGCAAACGTAAGAGCTCAGTGAATTAGCGTCACGAGGTAGGCATGCAGCATCGAACTTGAAATAAGGGGAAAATGAGAGTG